TCTGAATATATCGTATCGTGACCCCTCTGTCATGATATGTATCGTATCACCAAATTCTTGCCAATACACAGCCCTATTTAACAATCAGACATTTCTATCATTAGGACAGACACAACGAGGCAAAAAGAGCYGTGTTTACCAGTGGTTTCGGATGTAGCGGGTTCAGAGTCCAGCTCGGCTGCATCCAGAGAAGCCGAGTCCAGCTGCTCACTCAACGAGTCAAGAGACTCCCCGTCCATTACCGATCCGTTGGCGTGAAAGCCGTTAATCTCATCCTTGCTCTCTTCAGGTGATGCAGCCTCGGGCTGAGCAGGAACTGCAGAGACCTCTGGCTGAGGCTTGGGCTTCTTTTTCTTCTTAGGCTGGACAGAAATAAACCAGTATCAGAACTCAGCTCTGTTAAGCTGCTGTAGACCAAACGGATGTGTACACAAGCAGCTGACAAAGTTTAAACAACTGATTATCACAGTAAAAATTGCATTCAGACAGATAATTACAGAAATATTTTTAAAGAACGACATAAAAGAAGCAGGGYTGCTGTAAAAAGTTGTCACAATCAACACAACTGATTATTCTATTAGATTTTGAGATTAATGGAAAAGAAAAACTTTTTAATGCCCTCACCTACAGTCGCASCCTAGACAGTGTTTAACAAGCTGGGTTAAGTTTTAAAAAGTGAGTCTTATACTGTATATTAAAGTACTTTAAGTTAGCTGACAATAACAGGATGGTTTATGCACTGTGGCTCACAGCTGCAGCAGAACAAGAGCTGCAAACAGAAGAGCTGTGAGGCGACGAGTGGAAAAACTAAACCTCTGCAAGTTTTATTAACCTGCTGGATCAACTCTGAAGTTAGACAGGTCAACTGTCCGTTACATTTTTCACTGAATAATTGTGTGAGAAAACTTCATACCAGAGTCTGTGCCCGATGACTGCCGGTGTGGTGTCGAGTTTTGATCTAGATCTAGATAGAATTTGACCTACAGTAGATCTGAGTTATCCAACTAAACTGCTCAGTGGACAGTTACTGAAAACCAACAGCTCCAGATATCCAGCAATTAAATAAATACTACAACTTTAATAAATACTGTCTACTTTACCTTTGTTATGATTCAAAATCTAATTTTATAATAAATGAAGTCGTTGACAGGAATACATTTGTCATTCAAATCAATAAGAATGAATAAATATATTTTTAATTAACTCATCAGTGGGTCAACCTGGTCACCTGCAGGTGGAAAGTGGTCCACAAGCTGAATAGCCCCACCCTGAAAATCTACACTTAGGTGGGGGGAAAGCTCTTGATACAACACCTGTGTGTGAATGCACCGCTGTGCTGAATGCACTGTTTTTTTTATGTGTTTATATTTTAAGTAAAAGTTTAATACAAAATTAACTTAAAAAAATGTTGATTTTGATTTTTGGAGAAAAAAATATTTATTTTGGTTAACTGAATAATCACAAAATTAGTTGACTGATTAATCAAAAGGCCAACAGTAGTTATTGACAGCCCCTAAAAAGGAGGATTGAAAAATAGCTGACTCAGACATTTTAAAAACAGGTTTCTTGACTCTCACCTTCTTTTTGCCGGTGACATTCCACTCTTTCAGGATCTCATCCGCACTCCCTGCAGCAGAAACCACACAAATAACAACAGGTAAGTTCAGTTACACATGACAGGTAGGACCTTTGTAAATACCACCACAATGTAAGAATGTAGTGTGGCGTTTTTTAGATGCCTCTAAATAAGGAACAAAGCAATGTGACGTACGAGGACAACCCTTTTTTCTATAATTAAACCTGTGAAACTGCATGCACGCAGATGACACCCATCCACAGTGTGCGTAATGAAAAAGATGAAAAAGTTGCTCGAGGTTCAAAATATAAAAGGGTTGACATACCAGGACTAGTGCACATAAAAGTATGTACCTTCAGAAACAGATTCAAGAAAAAAAAAGCGGCAGCATGAAGGCTCACTGGATATTCAAATAACAATAAGAGTTCAGCTGATGACGTGGGAACATGCAGTTCTTCCACTTCTGGGTGCGTGCTGTAAGAACATGCTCGAGAACTTGGAGCTCAGAAACAGACATCCTCATACCTTCCAGGAAAGCCTGCACTGTCTTGTCGACACAGTTCTCAAAGTGCTGCAGCACCAGCACGATCTCATTCTTGCTTTTGTTGGGGACAACTGCCCTCACAGCACTGATCTGTGAAAGGTTTAAAAAGAAGAAAAGAAAAGAAAGAAAAGAAAAAACGATTGTCAAGGTGATTTACTTTCCAACGGAAGTTTACACTGTGGGCGTTACGACACAGGTCACCTTAGGTTTACAGACAGCAGCACTCATGTTTACAGAGTACACTTGAGAGGTGAAAAACAAGCTAACTTTTAAAATATATATTTAATAAAATATTAAAAATATTGAAATAGTAGCTTCCTGTAGCTCATAATTTTAAAAGAAGAAAAAATGCTGGTAACACTACCACCCCACGGTTCTAAAAGTAATCTACCCCGTACTTTTTATTCCCTTTTCGGGGGTCGCCACAGCAAGCCATCATCCTCCATCTCACTCTGTCCTCACTAGGGCTGCAACGATTAATCAGTGACTAATCGATTATTAAAATAATCGATGACTAATTTAATAATCGATTAATCGTTTTGTTTTTTTTTGTTCGTTACTTTGTTTTTCTCTCCAAACTGCTTTGACACCTTCCACTGCCACRTCTGCCTTTCTGTCCTTGACACACATGCACAGTAGTGGTAACAGGTGTAGGCCGTGGACATCACAAGACATTATACAGACAGGCTCTGGTATCATGGCTACCTGACAACAGAGCTCAAAGTGTGGGATCATTTTAAGAAAATGAAAGAGAAACCTGTGTAATATCTGCAGAGCAGGACTTGTCTTCCACAGCAATTATTTTTAGTTAGCATATAGCTAAAATCTAACGATGGTTATATAGTAGAAGCTGCATTCTGGCACGATAAGCTCTATGTTTTATATTCAATTAACGTATGATCTGATTAGTCGACTAATCGAAAAAAATAATCGGTGATTAATCGATTATAAAAATAATTGTTTGTGGCAGCCCTAGTCCTCACTGCAACTGCATCCATATCCTCTGTAACTGCATCTAATACATCTCTTCTCTGGCCTTCCTCTTTGTCTACACTTAGCTCACCAATCTCTCTATATTAGCCACAAAAACATCACACCAACAAAGTTGGTGCCACATTTTTTCCCTTTCTGGTTAAACAACTCAAGAGCCCCCCTGTTGTATCTCAAGCAAAATCACTTTTCTAGGAAATTCAGGTTGTCCATGTTGTGTTGCTGAACAATTCTGCAGAATAGCTATCAAAGACACAAGTAAATAAACTTTTATTACAAAACATTTAAACATAAACAGAAAAAACTTTGGTCTAAATGTTGTTTTTTTGCTGAACTGAAATTGTTCACTCTGAAAACTTTCCTCCTCAAATTCACTGCCACCACAGCGTGGCTCTTTAGGAAAGCACAACTTCCAGTCAGTGAGGCTGAATGTGAATAATCTTAGCAATGTGCAGCTTTGGGAGCAGCTAACCCAAATTTTGTCACTTCATGTTTCAAATTACACCCGCAGTGAGAGTCACGAAGCAGCGAGTGAACGTCTTACCTTCTCCTTCATCCTCTCAGCCGTTCCTCCCTGGGACATGACCATTTGGGAGCGAGTGTCAAACACCACACCGGATGTATCTGCAAATAAATATACAAAAACACAAATCACTGGTCTCCACTGCCTGTTCAGGGCTTTGACCTGTTCTACAGTGGTTTGCAAATACTTCATTTGCAAAACAAAGGAACCACCAGTCGTCTTTGCAGAGATTTCAAGGGAAAAGTTTGGATAAATCTTAGAACTTGTCCAGATGTCTCCCCCCCGTAAAACAGCCTTTTTTTTTGGTCAAGTCTTAAAATATACTTGTAAAACGAGGGCGGTGGGCCAAATGTAATAATATATTACATGAAATGCAAATACTTTTTAAGTAAAATCCTTCTATATCTTCATGATTAATCAAGCAGCAGGAGCGATAGCCCATGATGTTTTGTTTGTTTTTAGATTGTGCCCATGGAAAAGGTTTGTCATATGCTCAGGCACCAAAGGCTCGTGGGACATTTCATGAATTGATAAAAWATGAGAATTTGTGGTCTTATAAAGTGTAAAAATCTACACGTGTGCTTAAAGTGCCCGTGACATCAATTTTAATGCATTTTTGGAAAGAGAACAATGATAAAATATTGCAAAACATATAAGGGGAATGTCTGCATGTAAACAGAGTKTTGTTACAACAGCTAACAAGAGAGACTGTGGAGAARAATCTGATGTTTCTTTAGAACAGGGGTCTCCAACCAGTAGCTCGTGAGCTCATTTAAAGTAGCTCTCCAGTGCTTATGAAAACTTAGGAGAAGCACATTTTAATTTGTCACTGGCCAAACAAACTTTAATTTTGTTACAATCAATCTATAGATAACCCTTCCCCTTGGTTGTCATTCAAACTGTTTATGTAAATTCAGTGTCCTTTGTGGTGGTTTCATGTGGATTGAAGACTGTTTTTTGTGCAAATCAAGCTTATTCCAATGGTTTAAGTTTAAAATTAACTGTTGCAAAAAGTAGCTCTTAAGGAAGAAAAGGTTGGAGACCCCCGCTTTAGAATATTTAGAGTTTCTATCAAAGAGAGAAGAAGAGTTAAAGTTTAAATAATTGTTGTCTTCATAAACAAAGACCAGAGAATTTATTTTATTAAAGAGTTCCCCTTTGATGTCACTTCCTGTTTCACTTTGGCTGAGCCAAATCYAATWGAAAATAGGTCAGTTATGAGACAATGTGTAAAATCATGTGTKTTAGGTCAATTTTCTTAWGAATAAAGATGTTTTGACGTTTTGTCTTTGAARGATAGGCATGTCACAGACACTTTAAATCTAATGTAAATGCGTAATGTAGCTACTTGTCTTTCATGTTTAATTTGAATGTAATTCAAAGATAAAGTCAGCACCATGAGGGAAGACTATCTGCATTACAGCAACTTATATAGTCACCGGGCCAATAAATCGAATGCCTGTAAGTGGAAACAGTGTTTCTACGTAAGATGACAAGAGATTACAACCTAATAACCAGATCAGTGWTGGTGGGCCAAAATCAAATGGCTTGGTGGGCCAATTTTGGCCCGCAGGCTTCACTTTGGGCACCTCTGTCTTGGAGCATGCCCATAAAGCTTTAAAATGTTAGCCAGGAGCCATAGGCTGCATAAATGATACAATTTACGGTTCAAAATGTAAAAAAAGGAGAAAAAGATGGAAGGCAAATACAAGAGCAAGAACCTGTTTGTGACCAGACAACAAGTGGAACTTCCACTTCGTATCACACTGAACTACAAAACCATAAAAGTGCAGGAAACTGTTGACTATGAGTCGTGCCAGTCCAACTCACACTTATTACATTTCATTAACCCTTATTTAATCAGACAGACCCTATTGAGATTCACCCACATTCACACAACATGCAAACTCCATACASAAAGACCCCCAGTTAAAACCAGGGATCAAACCCACAGCCTTATTGCTGTGAGGCATCAGTGTTAAACACTATGCTGTCGTGCTGCCAGTATCCAGCAGGGTACAGCTGGTAGGAAGGGCTTTTGAATCAAGTACACACAAATGTTTGTCTTTCAAAAGCTCATTGCTAGAAGTGTAACAATACAGCAATTAAATGGTTAATGATTCAGTTATATCGAGGCAAAATKAAAATATTGATCTACATCGTCACCATATCCTCGATGTGAATACATATCATATGTCATATGACATATAAGGACAAAAAAAGATGGACATACACTCACCGGCCACTTTATTAGGTACACCACGCTAGTAACGGGWTGGACCCCCTTTTGCCTTCAGAACTGCCTCAATTCTTCGTGGCATAGATTCAACAAGGTGCTGGAAGCATTCCTCAGAGATTTTGGCCCATATTGACA